AGGGGGAAGAAGGGGGAGGAAGGGGGAGGAAGAAGGGGGGGAAGGGGGACAAGGACCCGGGGGGAGAGAATGCTTTTAAGAGAGAAGAGAAACAGAGAGTTACACAGAGGAAGGTGAATGGATGCCTCATATAGCCATCCAATGGAAGGGTATATATGCAAGAAAAAGGAGGTAAGCAAGCCCAACCTTCTCAAATGGAGCCCATTTTTCTGCATACAAACCCCGCTCATATCCGCCAAGAGCTACGGGTCAGATAAGACAGACAAGAGATGCAAATTGAAGATTATGACTCTACGAGTGAAGGCCCTGAAGGGGCTAAACGAAACAAGCGACATGCCTCAGACGGCTTGTAGTAAGTGAATGCAAGCACCGCAAAGCCTCTTTTTATTCAATTTCCACAGCAGGGCCTTTTACCCAAATGCTACAACCACAAAGCCTTTTATCCAAGTTAAGTTACAATCATAGCACCTCCCTGCAGCTGAGAACAGATTCATTCAGAATCTTCAAAACGCATTGGATACCTCAGAGGGGTGAGCTGACTTTCCAAGAGACGATGTGGGGACAAATTGGACAATTGCTGAAATGTCACGCGTTTGTGAGTGAATAACATGCCATGTGTGAAGTGACTTAACAAAGGATGAGCTCTTGACAATCAGGTGGAATAAGGATGGACGTATTCAACATAATCTGGTCGTAGTCGCTGTCCAGATGCATACATAGAAGTCCTGGTCTGAGTATGCCCTCCTCAAGGCATGCCGCCAAGAAGTGCAAGAACATGTGTGCAGTGAGCAGTTGCAGATTACAATTGTACTCACTCGGAGACGAGGGGAGTGGAAATTCTGCTCTATTTATGGCTTAATGATACACAGAGGTAATAGCCGATAAACAGATCATGAGTTCAAGTCTGGTCTGGACAGAAACGCTTCACGTGTGTGTACATAAAGAGAAGTACATAAAGAGAAGGAGCTACCTAAAGGTCCTAAACATTGAAACAAAATCAAACCCCAAAAGGGAGTGGAAATGTGGAGGTGGTGATAGCAAAATAGTGGGGACCACACCAACTGGCCTAGCTTAGTTGGTACACCCCTCAACTGCTGAAATACAGACCCGAGTGCACTGGAAGCACATAAGTGAAACATTACAAATCTGAATTACCTGAAAAACAAAAGTAGGGACCGTAGAGGTGGGAGATGGGAGAGGGGAGGGACATGTGAAAGGGGAAAAAAAAATGTGACTTACATGATATTGCGGAATCAAGATCCTTCTCCGTTCGAGCAACTGCATTCCCACGCCCATCATACGCAAGCCGTCTTGTTTTGATCATCAACGGGTACCCAAATTGCTGGCCCGCTTCCACTGCAGAAGCTCTGTCAGTTAGCTGCCAGGCACAAACAACAAGCAACATGATTACGATTGCCGTCATTCTAGCTCACGAAAAACTCAGCATCCACCTTCTTGCTGAGGCAAAATCCGCAAATGGCACAAATAATGTCAAATATTAAATACGGTACTCGGAGCGTACTCACACCCGGACTTACTGGATGTATATGACGGATTTTCGGACCAAGCCTGGACGCATCTGACTGCAGATTATGTCGACAGAGAAGTCGTCGAAAAGGAGTTCTCGTGTAAGTATGCCCTCAGTCTAAATTGTATCTAAAGTTTTAACTTTTCACTAAAAACTTTTAAGTATTACTTAAAAGTTTTGGCAGAAGAAGCTGACGCCCATGGGCCCCATGGCCCTGGGACAAGGATGAAAGTGTCAGGGGAGAAGATCGATGTCAACCTGAGGCACTAGAGCTCAGGGAGTGTACCGACCATTACGTAATGTACACTGTCACCTTCGGTCCATCACCATTGGTCCACTTCACCAGAAGAAAAAAAAAAGAAAGAAAGAAAAAAAAACCTCGAAATTTGAATATACATCAATACTCTCAATTATAAATTGAATATAAACACATATAATTAGAATTATTAGAAATTAAACACATATATTCACTATATAAATGAAAGACAATGCAATATAGAATTCGGATTGTACTCGAGTAAATTCAATGAAGTACATAATAGTCAGTTAATATAGCAAGTATAATTATTAATTAATACACTACTTTCTTATCACATTGACAGAAAGTCATGGGAGAGAAAGAAAACGAGACAGATTCATTGCCCTGAGCAGCATGAACTAAATTTCTCTGCTCTCTCTCTCTCTGTGTCTGGCCATCTCAATTCCGGCTCCGCTCTCTTGCACTTGGCATGCACTCCTCCTGGGATTCCCACTTGTCAAGTGAACGAATAGGACCACTGGGGAAGAGATGCAGGGGTTCATCACATGCACAATTCACGTCTGTGATCATCTGCCGTCATTCTCACATGACATAACGCAACAACTACGACTATCACCCTCACCATTTCTGGCCTTTCAGGGTTCACATCCATCGGCTACTGACCAGATCGAAGTGAACTCACAAATCGTGCATGGGATTTGTGTGTGTGTGTGTGTGTGTGTGTGTGTGTGTCTGTGTGTGTGTGTGTGTGTGTGTGTGTGTGTGTGTGTGTGTGTGTGTGTG